TTTTTTTTTTTTTTTTTTGGTCCTACTAATGCAATGTGAGAAAGTTATGAATTTATATTTTGTACGTAACGTTCCTTATTTAGGTAGTTGGGTGAGAAAATTGCAAACCCGTGGCCAAATTAAATGAAACCTTAAAAAGCCCTCTCTTTTAGTTTTGATTCAATGTTTGGGCTGTACAGTTCTGTGGTTACAGCCCTTATTGGGCTGTAACCTTCATCATCTTAAACCCTTATTGGGCTGTTCATTTCAGAATGTGTAGCACACATTGGGCTGTTATCCTTCAGTTCAGCCTGCACAACCCTTTTTGGGTTGTTCACTTTAGCTTCTACAGCCCGGATTGGGCTGAGCAGTTCACCATTTGATTCCTTCATTATGAGAAAATTTATTACTTGGCCGAGCCTCGAGCTTGGGATCGACGCTCATTAATAACTTGGCCGAGTCTCGAGATTGGGCTCGACGCTCATTAAATACGGGGCCGATCTACATGGTTGAGCTCGACGCTTGTTTATTACTTGGCCGAGCCTCGAGATTGGGCTCGACGCTTATTAATTACGGTGCCGAGTTACATGGTTGAGCTCGGCGCTTGTTTATTACTTGGCTGAGCCTCGAGATTGGGCTCGGCGCTCATTAATTACTTGGCAGAGCCTCGAGATTGGGCTCGACGCTCATTAATTACGGGGCCGAGCTACATGGTCGAGCTCGGCGCTTGTTTATTACTTGGTCGAGCCTCGAGATTAGGCTCGGCGCTTATTAATTACGGGGTCAAGCTACATGGTTGAGCTCGGTGCTTGTTTATTACTCGGCCGAGCCTCGAGATTGGGCTCGGCGCTTATTAATTACAGGGTCGAGCTACATGGTTGAGCTCGGCGCTTGTTTATTACATGACCGAGCCTCGAGATTTGGCTCGACGCTTATTAATTATAAGGCTGAACTACATGGTTGAGCTCGGCGCTTGTTTATTACTTGGCCGAGCCTCGAGATTGGGCTCGGTGCTTATTAATAACGGGGTCGAGCTACATGGTTGAGCTCGACTCTTGTTTATTACTTGGCCGAGCCTCGAGATTGGGCTCGACGCTTATTAATTACGGGGCCGAACTACATGGTTGAGCTCTTGCTTAATGCCCATACCTTAATCTGGTCATGCTCTCTTTCACTGTTTTGATGTGGGCCCTCTCATTCCTTCCAAATTGACTTGTTTATTACTTGGCCGAGCCTCTAGATTGGGCTTGACGCTCATTAATTATGGGGCCGAGCTACATGGTTGAGCTCGGCGCTTGTTTATTACGAAGCGCGTTACCTGTCTAATCTACCTGTTGAGTTGGATGGCGGTCTGGCATGATCGAGCTTTGCGATTGAGCTTGATGTTCATTTATTACGTTGGCAGCTATGGCCTGACCGAGCTACTTTGCCGTGCCCAGCTACTGACCCGACCATCACATAATTACGTCGCAACTTACCTGACCGGTCAAGAATTTGGACTCGATGGTATTATTGGCCTGACCGGGCTACCTAGTTGAGCCGGTTAGTGCCGATCGGGTCATCGTACTGAGCCCGATCCGTATCTTTGCTCATTACGATAATTACGCCGCTTCGACTCGATCTAAACCTAAGACGACCTAGCCTCTAAAAGCAAAACTTAAATTACATTCCTGATCTAGCGCGTTAAATAATCTATACAATAACGTTATTTACTGAGTGAGAATAGCCTAGACCCATTGGTAGGACCTCTTCAAAAATGTCGAGTTTTGTGGGTATTGATGGGGGGTGCCGTCCAGGCGTCCGTAAAGGTAATAACGTTGGCCCGGTAGAGTAGGGGCTCGTTGGCGGGCAAGATGTAGGTGCCGACCTGGTCGGATCGCAGGTGCGACGGCAATAGAAGTAATAACGTTGGCCCGGCAGAGCAAGGGCTCATCGGCGGGCAATGTGTAGGTGCTGACCTGGCCGTAGCGTAGGTTCGACAGCAGAAAAAGTGACAACGTTGGCCCGACAGAGCAGGGGTTCGTCAGCGGGCGATATGTAGGTGCCGACCTGGCCGAAGCGCAGGTTCGGCGGTAGTAGGACTGACAACGTTGGCCCGGCAGAGTAGGGGCTCGTCAGCGGGCGATATGTAGGTGCCGACCTGGCCGAAGCGCAGGTTCGGTGGTAGTGGAAGTGATAACGTTGGCCCGACAGAGTAGGGCTCGTCGCCGGGATAAGTAGAGACGACGGCCTGGCCGGAGCTGGGGCTCAACGGCGGGCGAAATAGAGAAGTCGATTCGACATAGCAGGGGCTCGTCGCCGGGATAAGTGGAGACGTCGATCCGACAGAGCGGGGGCTCGTCATCGGGATAAGTGGAGACGTCAATCCGGCAGAGCAGGGGCTCGTAGCTGGGATAGGTGGAGGCGTCCACCCGACAGAGCAGAGGCTCGTCGACGGGATAAGTGGAGATGTCGTTCTGGCCAGAGCAGGGGCTCCTCGCTGGGATAGGTTGAGGCGTTGACCCAGAAGAGCAGGGGCTCGTCGCCGGGATAGGTGGAGACGTCCGCCTGGCCGGAGCTCGGCTCAACGGAGGGCGAAGTAAAGACGTCAGCCCGACAGAGCAGGGGGCGACGTCCCAATCCAGTCTAGCGACGAGCCCCTGCTTTGCGGGCTGATGTCGTTATTTCGCTCACCGTCGAGCCCTCGCTCCGGCCAGACCGACGTCCCCATTCGCTCCGGCGACGAACCTCTACTCTTCCGGATCGATGTATTTACTTTGCCTGCCATTGAACCCAGCTCCGTCCAGGCCGGCGTCTCCACCTATCCCGGCGACGAGCCCCTGCTCTTCCGGGTCGACGCCTCCACCTATCGACGGGCCCCTACTCTGCCAGATCGACGTCTTTACTTCTCCCGCCGTTGAGCCCAGCTCCGGCCAGACCGACGTCTTCACCTATCCCGGCGACGAGCCCCTGCTCTGCCGGATCGACGCCTCCACTTATCACGAGGACGAGGGTGTGATGGTACCAGGACTTGCCATAAATCCCACCTTATGCTCAGGGTACGGGGTTCGAGTCCTGGGGAGGGCAAAAACCACAGAAAGTCTGAACATGGGTCTTTACCCTAGGACTGGAGCACTGTGGAAGGCCATGAGTCCCCGGTGTATGGGCACGACCATCACCGGGGGCCTCAACCCCCCCCCCCCCCCCCCCCCCCCCCCCCCCCCCC